CCTTGCACACAGTAAGAGCTGAATAGATGTTGGGTTTTGTTTGTTTTAAGACAGAGTTTTGCTCTTGCTGCCCAGGCTGGAGTGCAGTGGTGCGATCTTCGCTCACTGCAACCTCAACCTCCCGAGTAGCTGGGATTACAGGTGCTGACCACCATGCCAGGCTAATTTTTTGTATTTTTAGTAGAGACGGGATTTCATCATATTGGCCAGCCTGCTCTCGAACTCCTGACCTAGGTGATCCACCTGCCTCAGCCTCCCAAAGTGCAGGAATTACAGGCGTGAGCCACCGTGCCAAGCCAGATATTTATTAAGTAAACTTACTGTTCCATGCTGTGACCATCTGTGTACATGTTTGTCCCACTGGTCTGTGAGGCCCCTAAGAGCTTCCTACTTGATAGATTTTAAGGATCTATTTGTAGATTGTCCATCTCTCTGCATTAAAACCGAAGCTTGGCCTTGCACAGTGGCTCAAACCTATAATCCCATCACTTTGGGAGGCTGAGGTGGGTGGATCACTTGAAGTCAGCAGTTCTAGACCAGCCTGGCCAACATGGTGAAACCCTGTCTTTACTAAAACATACAAAAATTAGCCAGGCATGGTGGCACACACCTGTAGTCCCAGCTACTTGGGAGGCTGAGGCAGGAGAATGGCTTGAACCTGGGAGGCAGAGGTTGCAGTGAGCTGAGATTAAGCCACTGCACTCCAGCCTGGGTGACAGAGAGAGACTCTGTCTCAAAATAAATAAATAAATAAATAAATAAATAAATACACAGATAAAACTGAAGCTCATTGAAGATGGTAGGAATTTTTGTTCACTGCTGTATATCCTCTGTACCTGGGAAATAGTAGATGCTCAATAAATGTGCCTATTGACTGTTGAAAAGGCAGGAATGTGGCCAGATCATCTTTCTGTCCCTAGCACCCACTGAACAAACCCTAAGCCCAGGGGAACTGCCAATAAATAATGGCTGAATGAATGGGTCTATGCTAAGAATATGGGCACTGATGATGCCTAGACCCTTGGGTCTTAGACAGCGGACTCAGCCGTGGAGATTATCTGTGACTGACACACACAAGCACACACGCCCCCCACCTCTCCAATTCCTCCCTCCCCAAGAGATCTCAGACTGATGAAGACAGAAGAGGCAAGGAAAAATCTCACCTGGAAGTGAGTGCTCACGGCCATCTGGTGGACACCTGGGGAACTGCAGGTATTGTCAGCCCTCATCAAACTTCAGCCTGAGCCCCTTCTTGGAAGAGGGTGACATCTAGGCCAGAATGGAAGGCACACTAGACTTGGTTACAGATGGAACTGGCTTCAGATCCCAGCTCTGTCATTTGCTATGTGATTTGGGGCAAGTCCTTTGGCTTTCCTGGGCTTCACCCAAAAAATGGGGACATGGTCCCTCATCTTTGCAGGGTTGTCCTAAGTCCTGGGCTCTGGCCGGGAACCTGGTAGGTAGGAAGGGTTGGTGGAGGTGTCAAGGAGGTAGGAGCAGAGGGCATGAGGAGAACAGGAGAGAAGGAACTTTCTCTTCCTCTAGAGAGCAAGTTCTCAGGGAATGGAGACCTGATTGGCATGAGCAGTTTTGGTGCATGAGGGAGAGCACACGCGTGTGAAAATCCACAGCCCTGCTTTAGTCTCTCAGCTCTCCTGGGTTTCTCAGGGTTAGAAATGTCACTGCACTCTTTTCCTTCCCAGCTGCCTTAGGATCAACCTCTCTTGCAAACAACAGGGTAGTTATCAGGATCAGGAAGTTCATGACCAACCACTACTTCAGTGGAAATAAATGGTTTTCTGTGTCCTTCACCCTGGGAAGGCAACAATACCTAAGACAGAAAATTGGTCAAAAAGTAAAAGACCACACTGGATGTATTTAGAACCCATTTTGGACCAGGCGCAGTGGCTCATGCCTGTAATTCCAGCACTTTGGAGGCCATGGTAGGTAGATCACTTGAGCCTAGGAGTTCAAGACCAGCCTGGGCAACATGGTGAAACCCTGTCTTCCTCAAAAAATACATGCCTTAGCAGAGCTGGGTGTGGTAGTGCATGCTTGTAACTCCAGATACTCTGGAGGCTGAGATGGGAGGCTCACTTGAGCCCAAGAAGTTGAGGCTACAGTGAGCAGTGATCGCCCCACTACACTCCAGCCAGGGTGACAGACTGAGATACTGTCTCAAAAAAATAAAAATAAAAACAGAACCCATTTTGGTGGTGTTAAGACAATTGTCTTGGGCTTGATTTATGATTCCTTGGATGAAGCTAAGAAAAATTAATCCAAACACAGGCTTGCAAGACATGAAAGAAAAAGACCTCAAGAAAACAGCTAAAGGAACTCAAGAACAGAATGAAGACAACCGGGGAGTCACGAGAGTGTGGTGCTGGTGCTGGCAAACAGGAATGACTTTATTTGCAGTGATGGTGCAAATTTTTCACCAGCGGATTAAAAAACTACAAAAACTAAAAAAATCATTGCCATTCAGAGTAGCAGAAGATAGTCCCTGATACCCTCCTTTGATGCCAACCTCCCAGCAGCCTTCACCCATGGCTGAGACCAGAACTCTGTAGAGATCCAGCTCTGATTAGGGAGAAAGGGGATCCCTGAGTCTTGGGGCCCTGATGCCCTTGGATCCTCTCTCTGACACCTCCACCTTCCTGGGCACCAGGCATACTCCTCCTCTCTCTGTTTTCCTTTTTCCTCTGGTTGCTCCCTTTTAGGTCAATCATCCAGTCCATGATGATTTCTTCAACAACAGTTGCTTGTCAGGCACTTCTCCAGCAGAAACGGGACATAGTCGCTACGCTTTTGGAGCTTAGATTCTAGCGGGACTGACATGTAGTAAAACAAACAAACATGAATTCATTTATAATTTCAAGAGTGCTTCATCCTCCAAAAATGAATAAATCAAAAGCAGCGGAGAGAGAGTGATGGGGAGGTGAGTGGCAATCTGAGAGAGAGTTCAGAGCAGCCCGTTTCAGAAGTGACTTGGGAGCAGAGACCTGGGTGAAGAGAAGGGTTGTAGCCGAGGGAACAGCCGGTGCAAGAGCCCAGGAGCAGGAACACCCTCATTCATGGTATGTGCCTCCAATGGTGGGGTCTCTGAAGCCTCTCCTCATTCTCTGCTCCCACCCCTGGGTGACATTACCTGTAAAACTCAGTTGCCACCTGCACGCCTACCCCTCTCAGGCTTCCCTGATTGGGCAACTGTGACATTGATGGCCAACAGCTTGCAGACCCCACCCAACAACCCCATGAGGCCAGTACTAATATTATCCCTAGTTTATAGACGAGGAAATAGGCACAGAAAGCCAAAGAAACCCCCCAAAGTCACACAGCTAGGAAATGGAGAAATTGAGATTTGATCACCTCTGCCCCTTAGTCCCCCTAAACTCATACATCCAACCGGAAATGCAACCTCTTCTCCAGCTCCGACCCCCTCCTCTTCCCATGTTCCCTGCCACTTGACCTGCTCTCTCACACCCAAACCCAAAACCTGCCCAGTGGAGTCTGAGCATGGGGGCTGCAGCGGTGATGCTGTGATGGGGATGTCCGGTGGGGCCCAGGGTCCTCAGGCCTTAACCTCATCTCCCCGCTCCCACAGACTTCATGATTCCAGGGAGCATCAAGGCAAGAGACGCAGGGAGAAGGAGCAGCCAGCCCCCAACGCAAGACTGGCCACATCTGTCACATCTGGAGAAGTCTGCCCAGAGTGGTTCCCCTGGACTAAGGGCAGGCAGCTTGGGAAAGAGGGAGCTCTTTCTCCTTGCCCCACCCATCAGGATGCCTAAAATGGGAGGCTGAAAGGGGCCTGCCCTGAGGACTGAGCTGCCAGGCTTTCTGCTTCCAAGTTCTTCCCGGCTCCCCATCTCCTCCTGCTTCGGGGAAGTGCACCCCCCACCCCCTCCCCGCTGGCTTTCTAGATCCTTGAATAAATAATTCAGGTTTTGAAATCTTGCCAGGCCCACCCCTCCCGTGCTGTGAGGGCGCTATTGGGCTGACATGAGTGACGTCACCCAGCTCCTTATACCAGCCCCATCATCACGGGACCTGCCCTGGCAGGAACTTACCTGCCTGGTCACTGTCAATCCAGACCCTCTATCTTGTCCCCCTCATTCTGGAGCCCACTCACCACAGCCACCTGCTATCTTCATTCCAGGACCCCACAGCCCTCATGGCTGAGCATTGTCGCTTCAGTACCCCAGCCCTTCTGACAGGGTCATGGTGACCTGAAGTCACCTGGACACTCCGTGTTCCCGGGCCACTGCCTCCGCCATCCTGGGGTCCCTGAACTCCGCCCTGCGGCAGAGTCACCCTGACACTGCCATGGTTGCCCTGGGGGCTTTCCCTCTACCGTTAGCATCCCACGGCCGTCACCCCCGTCCAAGATCCTGTCACCATGCTCATGTCGTCACTGCCACGCACCCCCTCGCTCCCTCATGCTCCTTGTCATCGTCACCTCAGGGCCCCATCGTCTTCACAACCCTGTCATTCTCACCAGGGACGCACAGCCAGCCCCATCACAAGCTCTTCCTTCGTCACCTAGAACTCGTGAGCCTCTCTGCCACCCAAGGGTCCTATCACCCCACAGCCTCGCCGGACCCCCTTTCCATTCTCCCACCACGTTCCCTGAAGCCTCCCTGAGACTTCAAGGCTCTCCCACCGGCGCCGCTGAAACCCCCGGCCCGCAGAGGGCGCCGCGTCAAGGACAGGCGGGCCTACTCGGGAGGGGGCGGGGCCGCAGCCACGGTCGCTTTTTATGAATGGGGGAGCGGGCGGCGCGAGGCCTCATTACTATGCCGCGCATCGCGCGCTGCGCCCCAGCGCGCTGCGCCCATTGGCTGATAGAGCCGCTGACGTCACCAAACCGCGAGCCGGGGGCGGGGCGGGGTGACTCACGCCGCTTCGGGGGCTTCTCGGGGTCCACGCAAGCCCTGCGCCGCCAGGACCCGAGCGGAGCCTCCCCGCGGCCCGGCCGCGCCTGGTCCTGAGCAGTGAGTAGCGGGTCCCGCCGCGGGCACCAGGGGTCCTGGAGGGCACGCAGGATGCTGGGGCGTTGGGCCAGCGGAAGGCTCCTAGCGGCCGGCCAGGGTCCGAGTTGGGGTGGGAATTCTGGGTTTAGCCGATTCTGGGTTAGCAGGTGTTGGCCCAAGTGCTCGGGTGCTGGGGCCGCGAGTTGGATGACCTGGCGAAGGGTGAGCATTCCTGCAGGGACCCAAGGCCCTGGAGGGACTGACTGATGGTCATCTGAGGTTGGGCCGGCAGGAGGCGTCTGGGGCAGGGACCCAGGGTTCTGAACAGCAGGAGGTGTCCGACTCAGGAATCCAGGTATCCAGCCAAGAGGCGGAGTCAGGCCCCAAATCCTGGTGTCCGGGCAGAAGGTGGCATCTGACTCAGGGATCCAGGCTTCCAGCAGGGGGAGTCTGTCCAGAGACCTAGGGATTTAGGCAGAAAGAAGGGTCCAGCCAGGGACAGAAGTCTGGGAGGCTGGGAAGTGGGGGGCTGATTTCCCAGGTGTTACCTCGGGAGTGTGGGGTGGTGGCTGGCAGGAGCTTCACGCGCATTTCCCGGGGGCGGAGTCTGAGGCTGGCAGTACTGAGATTCGTGAGGGGTCTGGGAGCCTCAGGCACGAGCTAGCATCATCCTCTCTGATAGGAGGGAGCAGAGCTGCTCAGTCTCCAGATGTTTCCCTACGCCAGTCTTGGGGCTTCAGGGGCATCCCCTGGATCCTATGGCCCTCATCCATTTATAGTACCCCTTCTCCTGGTTCTCCTCTGGTTACACACATGGGAAAAAGAGACTCACAGGGCCTAGAACAGGGATCCCCAGGAAGAGACCCTTGTTTAGAGGCCTAGGGGCATTGGAGAGGACAAGGGTATCCTGGGAAGAGCCCCAGGACATGAATGTGGGGATTAGGCATTGGGACCCTATCAAGTATCCTGAGGAGAGACTCCCACCATGTATCCTGAGGGGCACCTCACCCCCTCCAGACCCCACCTCCCATCACCCAGCTTGGTCAGCTTCTCACAAGGCCTTTCTCCTGCAGGTACCATGATGTGGGGTGCAGGCAGCCCTCTGGCCTGGTTCTCAGCTGGCTCAGGCAACGTGAACGTGAGCAGTGTGGGCCCAGCAGAGGGGCCCACAGGTCCAGCCACACCGCTGCCCTCACCTAAGGCCTGGGACGTGGTGCTCTGCATCTCAGGCACCCTGGTGTCCTGCGAGAATGCGCTAGTGGTGGCCATCATCGTGGGCACTCCTGCCTTCCGTGCCCCCATGTTCCTGCTGGTAGGCAGCCTGGCTGTGGCAGACCTGCTCGCAGGCCTGGGCCTGGTCTTGCACTTTGCTGCTGTCTTCTGCATCGGCTCAGCGGAGATGAGCCTGGTGCTGGTTGGCGTGCTGGCAATGGCCTTTACCGCCAGCATCGGCAGTCTACTGGCCATCACTGTCGACCGCTACCTTTCTCTGTACAATGCCCTCACCTACTACTCAGAGACAACAGTGACGCGGACCTATGTGATGCTGGCCTTAGTGTGGGGTGGTGCCCTGGGCCTGGGGCTACTGCCTGTGCTGGCCTGGAACTGCCTGGATGGCCTGACCACATGTGGTGTGGTATATCCACTCTCCAAGAACCATCTGGTGGTCCTGGCCATTGCCTTCTTCATGGTGTTTGGCATCATGCTGCAGCTCTATGCCCAAATCTGCCGCATCGTCTGCCGCCATGCACAGCAGATTGCTCTCCAGCGGCACCTGCTGCCCGCCTCCCACTATGTGGCCACCCGCAAGGGTATTGCCACACTGGCCGTGGTGCTTGGAGCCTTTGCCGCCTGCTGGTTGCCCTTCACTGTCTACTGCCTGCTGGGTGATGCCCATTCGCCGCCTCTCTACACCTATCTGACCTTGCTTCCCGCCACATACAACTCCATGATCAACCCCATCATCTATGCCTTCCGCAACCAGGATGTGCAAAAGGTGCTGTGGGCTGTCTGCTGCTGCTGTTCCGCTTCCAAGATCCCCTTCCGATCCCGCTCCCCCAGTGATGTCTAGTTGCGTCTTGTTGACCCTTCAGCCCTGATCACTACGGAATTCCAGAATGTTAGGTTCTCCAGGGCTTCTTTCCAAACCCCCAGTTCCACACCCCCCAGACCCAGCTGGTTCTGGAGTTCTAGGACATTGGGTGTTTCAAGGTTCTGTTCAGATCCCTATGGGAGCCCAGCTGGCTCCACGGTTTCAGAATGTTCAGGTGGTCAGGGTTCTACTCAGAAATGTCTCACAGGCCAGCTGGCTTGCAGTTCCGGAATGCTGGGAGTTTTACAGTGCCATTCCAAGTCCCAGATGTCTCTCCTCTCCCAGACTTGACCTTGACCATGTCACTTTACATTTGAATTTCTGAGCTAAAGAGTCAGAGAGATTAGTCACATAGTTGCCTAAATAGGAGAGAGGAAGATTATATATGTGCACATACAAAGAGAGTATCTATTATTTATTTATTTATTTATAAATTTACTTATGGGTGGTAAGGGGAAAAAAGAGACCCACACCTTGATACCAGGGTACCCCTTGTCCCCTTACCCCCATTTCTGACCTCAGTTCCTGGAGGGGGGAAAGGGAGAAAGAGAAACCACGTATTTTGTTATTATTTTGGATTACTTTTTATCGAAGAGATCATAGAAACCAGAGCCTTCTCCCCAGGCCCGCCCTCCTTGGGTTTGCAGGGGGAACACACCAGCCTCTGGTTTTTTATTTTTTTAAGAAGCCATCACCTGAGCAACCAAAAATTCCTCTGCGCTGGGGTCTGACTGCCCTCTGGTGGCCATTTGGGAGAACTGCAGCCCGGCCAGGCAGCCGGGACCAGAACGCAACTCCAGCTCCATTCCAGCCTGGCATCCAGTGCCACAGCCATGGCCTGGGGGCCAAGCCTTACCCTGTGGTGCCCTAGAGGGGGGGCACGAGCCAACACCCCACCCCTCTGCCAACCGGGGTATGGCCCCCAGTGCATTCCCCGTTCCTGTCTCTAACCCAACTCAATAAAAAATGATTTTGTCATAAATACGTTTCCCTGTATGTGTGTGGAGGGCATGGGGTGGGGCCTGATAGGGGATGGCCTGGAATAAGAGGGCCAGGCCACGCCTGGGGGGCCTGTTGGGATATCTGCGGAGCTGGACGGAGGGTGGGGAGTGGCTGGCAGGTGACTCCCTCTCAGATGTCAGTACCCCTCTGCTCAGACCTGGACACTGAGTGGCAAGGACCTTACCTCTCCATGGTGACAGGAACCTGGGTGCTTGGCCCTTCCTGGGTCAAGGGTGTCCAGATTCTGCCCATATTGGCCAGTGTGGGGCTTAGGCATGATGAATATGCTCAAAACATGTCAGTTTCCTTAATAATAATAGCCCCTTCTTATTGTGGGTGCCTATTGTGTTTCTGGCACATATGCCACCTCATTTATGCCTAATAAGAATCCCATGGCACTGGTAGTGTCTCCATTTACAAACGAGGGAGCTGAGGCTGAGCGAGGGACAGTGACTGGCCCAAGGCCATTCAGCTAAAAAATGGTAGAGCCGGGAACATCTGTTTCCAGAATCTGTGCTGTGCAGTGAGCAATTTCCTTCCTTCCCAAGCCTGGGGCTTAGGACATTCTGGACCCTGATTTATGTTGGGGTTCATTTTAAGGGCCACATTTGGGAAGTGGTCAGAGGGGGTCTGGTCATTTTGGAGTCAGGAGAGATTTTCTACACAAAGGTGGGTGACTATCAGTGTGTGCCTTTAGGTACATGTGTGTGCAGGATGCAGAGTTTGGGTATTTGGGGACAGGAAGCTGACCCCAGAAATCAAATGTGTCTATCAGGCCAGGGCAGGAGCAGGTTTGGGGTGTGGCTAAACAGGAAGCTTTGATTGGCCAAACCTCCCAGCTTCCCAGGCCTTATTGTTGGGCGAAGCCTGGAAGTGGGGCTCTCAGAACATTTCTGGCTCACCCCTCCATATACAGACAGGGAGCCTGAGGCCGCAAGAGGAGCAGCCACTTGCTCAAACTCACACAGCTGTGCCAGGCTAGGACACAGGCCTTTCTCCATTTCCCTGGCACAGCCCTTTTGTCTGGTGTGAAGATCCCTCCCCAATAGTCCAAGGAGGGCAGTCATGCCAACTGGCCCACAAAGTGGGGAGGCTGTACCAGGTCAGGCCAAGCCTTATTCTATCCCCATCCTCCTGACAGATCCCTGGGGAAAGTCTCTACTCAGCAAGCACCTCCCCCGCGCCAAGCTTTGCGCTAACCGTCCCACACCATCAGCATGGCTTCATCGGATGGGCACCATCGCTCTCCCCATTCTACAAAAGAGGAAGTTGAGGCTCCAAGAGTAATGGGCCTTCATTCATTCACTGCTGTCCTTGTGGACTGCTTAAGTTCTAGCTGGGGGAAATAGTAATAAAAGTTTTTCCAAAAATGTAATGTTACACAGTGACAAGTCCTCACAGAAAGAGCAGGGGAAGAAGGATGGGGAGAATGTGAGAAATTTTTAAATGAGGATGCCCAGGAAAAGCCTCCCTGAGAGGTGACCTTGGAATGGTCCAAAATCAGGGGTTGGTAAGAAGTTGAGCTGCAATTTGAACCCAGGTCCATGTGATTCCAAATCTCTTTCCTGGATGAGGGAGTGTGCTTCAGAAACAACCCAGAAACATCAAGCAAGGGAACTGGGCAAGTCCCCAGGCCAGGGGAAGCGGGGGTTCTCCAGGTTAAACCCAGATTTCTGGAGGCACGGCACAGGGCAGGGCCTTGTTGCTGCCCCTGCCTCATGCTCCTGAGCCCCACTAAGGTCCAGAGGAGAGGCACCAGGTGCCTGCCCTACCCTGGTGGGGCTCAGCCCTTTGCTTCCCCAACCCAGCTTCCAGCTCCAGGGCCCAAGGAGGGAGCTGCTGCCATCCTTGCGTCTGGGAGGGCCTGTGTCAGGCCCCTGCACTGAGGAGTTTCTTCTGTCCCTCTGGGGGTGGCTGTGGGCTGGAGCTGAGGCATTTCTGGCAGCCTCCATCTGGGGTCTCTGCCTTGGGTCCTGGGCCCATCTTGAGGGGTGTGTGAATCTGTCCCTCAGATTGTACTGTGTATGGTGGGGCTGGCTGGCTTTTCCTTCCTCCCAGGATTCTGCAGATCAGCTTCGAACTTCTTCCCTGTATCTCCACTCCATGCTTCCTCCAGGAAGCCTCCCTGCCTGAGCCCTTTTGTGGCTGTGAGAATGTGATCTAATATGCCTTGCTACACCTCCCCTGAGTAAACATTCCCAGAGAAGTCTTGTCTCCCTCCACAGAATGAAGACAGGGCTGTGTGTCCTTTCTCCAGTTGAGGGTCCCCCACAGAAGGAATGTATATCTTCTCAAACCGAAGGCTCTGAAGGCAGATCTTTCTCCTCAGAACTAGGAGCTCCTGAATACAACTAGTGCTCGACTTACGACCACAGTCAGGACCACGGACCGGTCATAACACGATTTGGCCGTAAGTTGAGTAGGCTATATGTACAGTTGAAATGGTGCACGTGGAGATGGTAGTGCTGCCGGAAGCTGGTCCGCACTGTCGTACTCCCAGCTGGGCAACGTTTGCGCTGCCAGACGCGGAGCAGTCGTGGCTAGCGATTGTGGTTGTAAAGTCGAATGGTCGTAAGTTGCATAGGTGGTAAGTCAATCAATACCTGTACAAGGTCATGCCTCCCCCCTCAGACTGGGAGCTTGGGGCCTCTTGAGAACAGGGTCATGTCTTTTGCTTCAGATTGAGGGTCCCTGAGGGCAGGGCTGTGTCCTCCCCACTCAGACTGGGGCCTCCTGTGTCTCCTGCAGCCTCAGAGTCCTCTGTGTTCAGCCTGGAGCTGCTCAGCACTGCATGCTTGTGTGTGTGTACACGCCTGAGTTTGCTGGAGTGTGCATGTTTGGGGAGGGGTAGCCATGCCTTCTAGCCTCTCTGCCTCTGCCAGCTTTTTGACTCCCCAGCAAGGTGAACTGGTGATGTGGCCCCCTGAATTGGGGGAGACAGGGTTAGGGCCCAGAGCCTCACCTTCCTGCTAGAGTAGGCCCTGGGATGGGGCTGGAGCTCAACCCTCCTCTCCACCTCCCTTGGTCCTGGTGTGCATGACGGGGGGCAGCCCTGAGTGCTGAGCCCCCGCCGGGGCCATGTCCGCCTCTCCTTGCAATAAGCGAGGAGACAGCAGCTATTAATATAAGATGAGTTCACGGGCTCACAGCTTCCGCAGGCTGGAAAACAGGCTCCCAGGGCTGGGGGCTGCGGCAAGGCTCAGCTGTCAGATTCCCTCTTGGAGCCTGGAGACCACCAGTCCAGCATCCCCCAGCTCCTTCCGTGCTGAGATCTGCATACACAGACACACGCTCGTGGCACATGCAGGCACACGCGTCTAGGCCCCTGGCTGTTCTGAGAACACACACACATGCAGACACGTATGTACATATACCCAGATGCATCTGCACACTAGCACATACACACTTGTGCATGCAGATACATCATTGCGCATGTGTACACGGACCATGTCAACTTTCTCTTTATGTGTACACAGGTGCAACAAACATGTTTGCATATCCAAACACATGAGCACACTCACATATACAAACAACTGCATGTGTATATAGATGGTATCCATAGTCATGTATACACATTTGCATGCAGTACTACATTCAAGGACTTGAATGCATGTGCACGCCCTTTCACACACAGCATACACACCCGCACATGCTCCCTGCTGCTGGCAGTGCTCAGCAATCCTGAATTCACAGGTTGGTCCTCGGTTTTCAGAACCAACGGGCTGGCTCAACCCCCACTCCTTGTCTCCCCTTTCCCCTTGCCTCATGACAAGCAGCTCATGCTCCTGCCAACCCCAATGCCTGCCTTCAGCTTCCCGCCCCCCCCCGGGGGATGGCCCCAATCCCTGATTAATCCCCTCACTAATTGGCCAACAGCCCCTTGACTTTGCTGCAGGCCTTCTCAGGAGCTGGGAGCGAGAGGCTGCAAATTGGCCAAGTAGGATGGGTCTAGGGAATTTTGTGCATGTAGAGGGTGAGGGTGGGGGTGCTGCAAGCCCAGTGCCTGGCTGGAGCCAGGCCGGGCACCCCCTATTCCAGGATTGGGCAGAACACTGGCTTCATACTCTCTTGGGAGGGCACTCCTATGATTCGTTATCTACATAGTCACCCGAAGCCAGCCTGGCATGCACATTTACACACAATCACCAGCCATGTGTGCAGACATATTCCACCCCACTTGGCACACTAACACAGACGAACATCTGCACAAACCCAAGTACACTCATGAATGTACCAAGTATGCATGCAAGCAAAATTTTACATGTTCATAGTCACCTGCCAGATATACAGACATCATTTATATATGCACATCCAATGCACACAAATGCAGTCGCATGTATATGGCCTCACAAACACATACACATACATATTAGATGTGCCCATGAATGTCCTAAGTGTACTTGCGGGCATGCACCAACATCTATCCACACTGGACAGACACATGTACAGTCCAGATATGCATGCAGAACATCCATGCACACTGCTCATATGCATGTATATGCCCCGATGAACAAGCTACGAAGTGGCCACAAGCTAGGGAGAACCCTCTTTAGCTGGCCTCTGGCTTTACATAAAAGGAAGCTTGAGGTTTGCTCAGTCTACTGGGGGGATAGGGCGTGATAGGGCCCACCCAACTTCCAACCTGTCTTTTCCCAGCCTCCATGCTAAATGCCTAAGTCTGGGACCTCCTCTGGGCTTCTCCTAAGCCATTAGGCAGCCACAGGGACACTGTCATGGCTCCAAGAAAAAATGGCATAGCTTCTGGCTTTAGCCCTTCCAATTTCAGTCTTCTTGGCTGTGGCCCAAGCCCACAAGGTGCTCTGCTCTCCTGTAGGCAGTCTAGAGCATTGGAAAAACGGTTTCTATTTCCATGCCTGCTGCTAGCTTGCTGTGTGACTTCAGGCAAGTTGCTGTGGCTCTCTGTACCTTGTTTCCTCATCTATAAAGTAGGAACAAAAGGCATTGCATTGGTAATCCTTC